AATGTATAAAGATTATAGGTGTTCATGTACGTTATACTTTACAAGAAGAAAATCAATTTTTCATTCCTCTGCGGCAGCTTGCAATACAACTGGAATATTACCTGAACCAAGCAAACAGAATTATCTTCTAACCTGAATAAGAAAAATGTAGCAGAAAGTCTTTATCTCTCTATTTTCGACTTTTATTATCTAAGTTTGACTGTGATTTAAAAGAAAGAAGGGAGGGGAAAATGAGCCAAATGCAGAATTGTTATGAAAGAAGCTAAAACGAGCCCCGTGAAAGGCCTGTGAAAGGTTCAGAATGGAAATGATTTTCAGTTTAAATTACTTTTGCAGGACTGGAATGTGGCAGTCAGGAAGCTTCCGTGGAAAGTCCATTCTTTTTTCTTCTACCTTTTTTTCCTTTGTGGGTTTGCGTTTGTATGAATTGCCTATGGCCCAGGCTGAAAGATACCTATCTTAAATGTTCATCCCTATGTGTCTGTTCCTGGAGTATCTGAGCACTTCACACACATTAAGAATTTATCTTTTATAAACCCTCTATAAACACTATATTGTTGTTATTATCTTTATATTACAGATACAAGTTCCTCAAGGTCACATTAAAAGAACTGGGAATCAGATTTTTGTCATAGGCCATTCTTTTCCTTGTATGCTTATGATAGATACCTATCTCTAGATATCTATCTGCAAAACTCAAAAAAATGGTACCTAGATTCAAGGGTCGTTCCATCAATAGCGGCACACGGCAGCCCCACTAACAGAAGAGTTGGACCTAAGGCAGAAGAAGAGCCCCTTTACTCAGAGAGGAAAGAGGTTTATGGGTTTTAGCTCTGAGGCTCCCTGAAGTGGGCAAAGGTGGCATGGATTCGCTGCCTAGCTGCAAGCGTAAGGATTCAGATCAGGACTTAAAATGGGGCTTTTGGGCATGAAAAATCCACGCCACCTTTTACAGCGGTTGGTGTTTTGTCTCTAACAGCACAAGTATATTTGTCTCATCAAATCTTGTTTTAAATATTCAGCAGTATATAGTACTCCCTACTCCTAAATGCTTCTTAAAGGTGTTTGCATCTCGTTTTAACACTTGGTGCGTTGTTTTCAAATGTTGGCTGCGTCTCAATGACAGATACAAAGAGAAGGGCAGCCCCACTTGGGACACATCAATACATTTTGGTGTTTAGAAGTAAGAATTTGGGTTCTTTTTTAATTATATATACTGTAATTACTGTATCAGAATTAGTGGAACTGCACCAGTGTATGTCAGTGGAGTGTTTTACTCAGGAGATTTTCTGCATTATGTCCATATCTCACATTTTTGAGGAATATTTGTCCCCTGCAATAACGCAACTGGCCGATTATCCAGTGATGCAGGTGGAAAAAAGAAATGAAAATTCATTCCTGAGTAGAAATGTCTTTAGTGTCTTTAAAATTTACATTATACAGTCTCTCGTACTTTACTCTCCCTTATAAAATCCAATTACAGAATTTCACTTCATGAGCTTTTTCCTGCTTTAGTGAAGTCCACAGGCTGATATATTCCTGAAAAAAAAAAAAGTGTGGTAAAAAAAAAAAGTGTGGTTTTAATTTTTCAGTATATATTGGAAAAAAAAAGAGATGTCATGCTGAATCTGTACATACAATATAATAGCAGTTCTGTTGCTTTCTGTGTGGAGTGATACATGACATTTTACAAACAGGGCAAATGATTGTCATGCATAGTGTCCAGCAGCTATCCTGGAAACTGCTCTGTGCTCTTAAACTTACAGACTTTAGAAGTAACTGATGCCTGTTTTATGTATCCAAAATTGCATCTCTTAATGCTTTGCAATTTTTTGTCTTTTGTACTTCCAGATTTGTCTTTAATTTAAGGATTTTAGAACAGTATTGTTTTCTTTTCCTAAATTTCTAGATGATGTTTTCACCTCCTGGAGCTTTTATTGTTTCATCTTTTGTCTTGGAAATAGGTCTGGATTGATATGAAGATGATAATAGTTATGAAAAAAATAATTTTATTGAACCTTAGGTTATTTCTCCCTTGAAATATTCTAGATGATTTTCTTTATTTTAAACTCTTTAATATGTTTCTTGAGTCAGCAGAAGTTTATTGTGTGAACTTATTAGTTGCCAGTGATTTTTCCTGGAAAATGGATAGCATCTGGTTTTTTTGTAAGACTGATCTTGTCTTGTTTTTTAAAGACACCATCTGCTTTCCAGTGCTCCAAAGGGAACTGTGGTGTCCAGCGGGATTTTTATCATATGTTTGCCTCCTTTTCTGAACATCTGAATATTTTAGAGAGCAGCTAAAGGCATAATTCTTCCTCCTAAACAGTATAATTCTTTATATATTAAAATCACATGGAAGTATTTTCAGCAAATTGAGGTTAAAGTTGTAAAATGCATCTTATAAATGTTATACTTCCATATTTAATAATGGATATTTAGTGTATACTCATCAAAAGTGATTTTTGGTACAGAGTCATTGCAAGTATATTAAATTAGGCAAAAAATGGACCCATTTTCTGAAATGGGAGCTTTGGATTTGGTCCCCTAAAAATTGCTCACCAAAATGCTCTCAGAAATGCCTTTCAGTATCACCAATCACATCTACATTTTTAAAAGAACAAACAAAATCTAGCTTTATTCAACTGTGAATTCTATTGACCTGATTGAGCAACTTCTGTTCCTGTGAAAATTCATTACTTGCATGCTAATTACAGTGAAACCCTTTTGTCAGGTTCACGACCCGGTTTTTATTTCCTTTAAGTCCAACTAACATCCCAGTCCTTTTCAGCAGTAAAGCACATACTCAAGTTTAAGCATGAGCTTTAGTATTTTGTTGAATTAGAGATTTGGCAACTAGGAGGAATACTAATGTGAGGGAAATCATATAGGTGCTTAAGGCTAGAAAGATCTGAACCATAGAAATAATAGAAAAGTAAAATATAATTATTTCCCTCATCTGAGGTCACATTCTGTGTTTCAGAACCAAAACAAGAGGACTGTTTAACTTGCCACTATTAAAAAAAAAATTTATATCCAGCTTGTGTAAAGTCCTTTACTATGATTACTGCTTTAATGCGGTATTTTACTGTGGAAGATCTGAGGCAGTGCCTAAAGTATCCAAGTGGATTGTTAGCATGGCTATTTCCTTAACAAGGCTCATACATTTACTAGATCATTCTCACGTAATTTTTCTTTGTTTTCCTCTATGTTCGACATGTGCCAGATTTCATCTCCAGACTGATTTTTTTGTGCATGTGAAAGATGCACAACATGAGGGACAGACAAGCAAATGCATTAACGGATGCAACTTTATCGATGAGTAGCAGCGTCTGGTGTTCAATGGCATCAGGCTGCATTCCCCACGGATAATCACAGGAAATGCCACCCCAGCCCCATCTGTTCACGCGGAAGAGGTTTTACAAAAATAGGGAAGTCGCGTACCTGCCTTGTTTTATGACACTCACCTATACCACATCGTATGTAATGTCTTGCCTTATATACAGTACATTCAATGTTTGACCTTCTTCATCCGTATCCATTGCACATCCTTGAGGCTTCCTACATTTTATGTATGTAGATGTACACACTTGTATAGAAGGTGTTAAATACACATGCCTTCATACTACGTTAAAAAGAAAAGACAGTATTTTGCTGCATACCTTAAAATCGCATTGTCCCTGGATCAAAACTGTTCCAGAGAAACAAGATATTGTGTAATATTTAATTGTTTCTTGTTGCATAGAATGGAATTCTATCAGAACATTTGATTCAAACACGACTGTAATACAATGATTTTAAGCTCTATTTCAGCCACTATGAATAAAGGAGATTATTCCTATTAAGGTGTGACTTTATCACATAATGTCAATAAATGTTTTTTGGTCCTTATTTTTTACTACAGGTGTTAAGCAGGTGATTAAGAAGTTAAGCAGGATATATACCTGTTTAGTGACATTCTGTCAACAAGTGCTACAGAACACAGAAATCCTGGCTGAATACTGTTCCTTTTAACTTTTCAGGTCATGCCACTCCTGTCTGTCAGACAAATACAATAGGAATTACTCAATTTAACACCATTTCAGTTCTAATTGAATTCCATTTGCTAAATCCTGAATAAATACATTACAACTGCTGCTTCGGTCAAACAGAGAGAAATAGCCATCTTTTAATGACTCCCCTGTGGATTTAATGCCTATTCTATCTGTTAGAATAATGATTCCTACATCACTGAAATATATTTAAAGGATAATAGTTATTTAAACATGCCAAGTCTTTATACAGCAGATAAGTATTTTTAATTTGCATTTATGAAATCAAAAGGAGGGCTAGAATAACTAGTTACCAATTTGTCTGTTTTCTAAAGTATCTTGGTATCAGAGCAAAGCTACAGGATTATGAAAGGGTTTTATGTTTGCTTTTAATATCAGTCTTAGGTGGGGAAAAAGGATCCCATCAAGGATGGGATTCACATCACCAAATACAGATAACTACCATGGAAATGCACTCCCTGCTCATCACCCCTGATAGTCTACTGGGGAAAGTAGGCCACCTACTTGTGATTCATCTTTTTGGACAGCAGATAGATGGAAAAGCTTGGATGAATGACTCCATAAAAGTGATCTCAGGAGGATTAAATTCAAAGATATTTTGTCCATTATAGGGATCTGAAGTTAGGTGAGATGAATCGCCCTTAAGACCGTAAATGAGAAGTCCATTTGTTGAAATTAGGAGGCTCACCCTGGAAAGGAAGGTAAATGCCTTGCATGGTGTAAGTTTAAGGGAAAGGAGGGAGTGAAATTTTCTCACTTGAAAAGAAACAATCCAAACCAAAATTGGAATCTTTCATTTGTTTCAGACCAGTTGAATATTTCAACTCAAGATATCACCAATTTTTTTTCTTTCTTTTCGTAAGAGATATGAATCTTTGTTGCTGATGACGTCAGCCATAAACCAGCGATTAGGCATTCACCTGGAACATGGGGGACTGCACTTCCCAAAATCCTGCTCTGAACCAAGCAGAAGGGAGACTTGAACCCACACGTCGCTGTATTGAGATGAATGTCAGTGTTACTGAGACATGGTAGGTACGCAGACTTCTGCCTTGCTAGATTTGTGAATGGTCACCTCAGTCCCACCTTTTTTTTTACTCAGCCCAAGTTATTTGCCAAATTTGACTCAAAATGCTGAATAATTTCAGTTCTAATTAACTTTTTTTAATAAACTATTCACAGCCTCCCACTCGCTCTGCCTCCAAAATTCCATCTTTAGCACAGATCTTGTGAAACAATGTAGATCATGAGAAAGAGAGAATCTAATATAAATCATGTACTTTGCAGAACTTCTTTTAAATATAATGCGTTAAGCATAATGGTCTTAAATATATGATCTTAAAAACATATCAATGCTGGATGATTTTTTAGGGCTGTGTTCCAATTAAATCTGTTGAAGCTTGAGTTAGAGGTTACAGGTTGAAGATTCATCCAGGACTTGAATGACTCTCGCTGCAGAAGTGGATTTCATCTCTTTGAACAAACGTGATCTAATGTGTGGTTAAGGCACCACACACAAGAAACGCCAGTTCTTGCTATGCAGCAGGATTTCTGTGTGAGCCCTGCTCCCTTAACCTCTCCCACCCAATTAGCCAACTGATGATATTTGTGTCTTGGTAGCAACATTTTTATGAGAAAGCTCTTTGCCTTTTCTGGTGAGGTAGAGGCTAACTCTCAACAATTAAGAGTTCAAAGACTCATGTTATGTTTTGTCTCAGAAAGTTGCCTCGAATGTTAAATGAGTAGAATGAACACTGAAACTGAGAGTGTTCCCTTATCAACCAGAATAGGGAGAAAGAGGAGTTACCTCTCCTGCTGCCTCCAGGCAGGCTTCTTTTTCTTCCTCACCACTTCCTCTTTTTCTGTACTATTTTCCAAACATTCAAAAACTCCTTTGATTTTTATTTTACCCTGAAGAATTTTTAATGTTTTACTAATGTTCTGAATGCAGATCACTAGGAGAATATAATTCACTCAGAAATTAGCTAAAATGTAGCTATGGCAAAAGTATCATGTACCAGGAAATAGATTTTACGAGTTTAAAAATGTTTGATCTGTTGTGTGTGATTCATTCTGGTTTGGAGTTCCTGCTTAGTCCTTTCTAAGGACTAAGATTTTCTATCATTTTCTATCATTTTGTTTTATTCTTTTTCTTTTCCCCTTCCCTTCCCTTCCCTTCCCTTCCCTTCCCTTCCCTTCCCTTTCCCCTTCCCCTTCCCCTTCCCCTTCCCCTTGGGTGACCTTAAACTAATCTAATCTATGCAGATAAAAAAAAAATCTACCTAATGAAAAGATAAGATAAACCCACACAGATTTGAGGTGTATGATACACTGTTATGTGCTTACAAATGAAAATGTATTGGCGGCAGCCCAAAAGTGTCTTAGAAGATACACAGAAACAGGACAGACAGTTAGAAACAATTATTGATCAAGACCTTTTGTACTAGGAGCTAATGTTAATAACATTTTATATCAAAATCAAGTATGAATCCTCAGGGCGAGAGATGTATTCTAAAAATGTTTACTCATACTTTGCTTGTGGGAAGCAGTTCAAACTCACTAGCATGGGAGCAGAAAAATGGAAGATCACAAAAACTTTGGAAACATCAGTGCGAATCAGTCATTATTTGTTCTTTTTTTAAGTTAATGTGGCTGCATGTGGCCAAACACAACTAGATTGGGTTTTTTTTTCTTAATTTAAAATTCCTTGGTACACAGAACAACCATTTCAGGAAAGAACAGTCAGATTATTGTATTTGCAATACACAGTTATGCTGTTTGATTAACGAGAACAGATGTAGTGTGTGCTCACAGTGTAAAATGAAGGATCTCAGTTAAGAATGGGTTAGGAAAACAATGTGTAAAGCTAGCATTTTGCAGAACAGAGCTGTGTTTCAGTTGTATACGCAGTTATTGCAGCCACATATGCAAATCTGGAGAGTTGCAAGCAGGAGTCCACTTGGACACTTTTCCATTTTGTAATCCATTTTGTGTATGCCGTCAGAATAAGTAAATGTGAAAGCTAGGAGTATGAGTACCTGCCTGCTTCGAACGACCATGTCCAGTCTTATACTGCTTGCAGGCAGAGGAAGCTTGAGATTTTATTCTGGACCAAGTCATTAGTTAATGGGACAAATACTCTCTCTTCTATAGTCAGACATGACAGAAGAGGTATAAACTGTCCTCAGGTCCTTAGGCATTATCTCAAATGCAGTGCAAACCCTTACACACATGGACCCCGTCTAGCCAGCTTGCCAGCTTTCCTTCCCATGGCCTCTAAGATCCATCAGCATTAAGAGCAGGAAGATCAGGCAAGTGTAAAAAGGATGGCACAGGTGATACCGTGATGCTCATACTAAAATACAGCATTAACTTGTGCCTAGGCAAGGACACGAACTGGAGAGATTCCAAAGGTTCCCTCTTGTTGCTGAGTGCAGCATAACCTGGATGCAGAAGAGAATCTAGTTCATTGAAGATACCATGCTGTAAGATTGGTCTAAAGGAAGGTTTTACCATTAATATTTTGGGTCTAGTCTCTGCCAACTAAAATAACTTTGCTCCAGATTGAGACAACTCTAAACAAGGAAAAAAACCAAGCATACTGGCTGCATTTACACATTGACACTTTGAACCAAGCTAACAATACTCCTGTTTTAGGTGTTAGGAATCATCTGTAACTCTGAACTTCTATGTTCACAGTAGGAGGTTTGAAAACAATTTCCAAAGGTTGCCATCAGTCACTCACTGCTTGAAGGTATCTTTGCGCTTTTGTAGGCATTCTCGCTCTCATTTCAAATTAACGAACTCTGTGTCTTTGGGTCTGACCAACTGCAGTCATGTTGTTCCTGTACAGACAGGTGCACGACAGTGTTTCTTTAATGTACAATTATGACTGGGCTGGGTTTTTTTCAACCAGAATTATTTTCTTCTTTCCATTTCCTACCCTGCAAAAACATGTGTATAATATTTTATTCCCTTTCTTCTCGCAAGCTTTGCTAATTATACTACAAGTAAAGGCCTTACTTTTTTCTTTCTGTTACGTTTGAAAAAGGATGCTTAAAGACGGCATTACCTTTAGGAAAGATTTCTGGCAGAAGAAATTTCTATTCTCCCAACAACACTCCAGGCTACGTTTGTTTTGATTGAACACCCTTCAAATGTGTGGGGGTTTTTTTGCCTTTATATAAAAGAATAGCTTTCCTTCGAAGGAAAAATGGTATCTAAAGTTTCTCTCATACTTTGAACGTTCCCTCGGATACTATAAAGAATATTTCTTCTTTCAGAACAAAAAGGGAAATGAAGACGTTCTCAGTTTCCCAGGTGTCTGATCTGCATAACTGAAAACCCTGAGACAAATGGCCATTGGTAAAAAATCCGGAAGTATCTAAGCAAAACAGGATTTCACCTCTTATGGCAAATTAGTGGCTTACTAAGTCATATACATTTGAAAAATGTGCTTTTTACCTTTTTCCTCTGTAATCCTCCTCACACTTGGTGCTTGCACCACCCTTTGTTTCCTAAAAGGCATTTTAAAAATAGACTAATATCAGGTCTTACGTGAGCTTCAAAAGGCCCTAAAAATGACATAAATCTCCCCAAGTAGGGCAGTATTCAGTCTTCAAAAAGGGTCCAAAACGCTATGGTGAACCATAGTTAAAACCCATGATCATTTCATATTGAAATAGCCACATTTTTCTTATTAGGGATGCAGCTTTTAGTTTTTGGAATTGTGAAGCACCTTGCTGGCATTTCATCTCTCCTGCATCATTTCTGAGTCTGAATTCCTCACCTCGTCGGACGATAGAACTCTATATACAGCACCTTTGATCACACTGAGCTGCTCTCACAGAATACAGCCCAGACCGTCTAATCTTTGGAGGATCGGTTATGGACTGAGGTATTTGGCAGTCTGATTCTAGATCATTATTGTAATAACAACATCTCTTCCTTCATTTACAGGTGGGAATGCTACATCTATGCTCCCAGTGTTTTGTGCTGAACAAAGTTGTCTGGACTAAGCAAGAGAGCAGAAGGTATGAAAGCAGCAGACAGACCCGAGAGGGGAACCCTTTTTTGCTCAACAGTTATCAAAGCAGGATTTACTGCTGCTACTGCAGTTTCATGAGGCAGAGCTAATTGCAGTAGGGATCCTACAACGATGATGTCTTGCAGGAATGGAGGCAATAAGCTCCATATGAGAAGGTGGTCTCATGCCTTTAGATTTTAGGAGTAGTATCTTCAGGTTCTCATATGTGGTTTTACCAACTTAATGGGCCCTGCTACCTTTTATGTAGGTAAGTAAAGTGAAAGTTGCAGACTTAAACTTCTTTTTCCACTCTAAGGTTTTTACACAAGATGAGATGAGACGATCTGACTTATGACCTTAGATATTAAAAAAAAAATTGCATATATGCTTGCTTAATTTGCACATGTCTGAACATTTGAGCTAACATACATTAAAGATACATACTGCTTCTAGTCCTGAGCACCTTTGTAATACAGGATGCTGAAAGAGACTACTAGCCATGAGTTTCTAGTAAGTATTTGTCATGAAGCTGTGGCAATTACTGAAATGACTCTGCATTTGCTCTATTGATTGTTGGCCCACCAAAATAAGATTACATTTGGCTTCAGATAATTCATTTTCTGTACCTAAATACCAGTTTGCTCTCTGCTGAGACCTATCAGCAAAAAAATACAGTTAGTGGGCTAAACGTTAATGTTTTTCTTCTTATTCTGAAAACATGTCATTATAGATTAAAAAAACCACAGTGCGATACAGACATGTAAATGCCATTTCATGTTTTTATATCTTGTGAGTTTTATTTCTAAGAGTCAGGCTACTTACAGGCACCACCAAAGTAATGGGAGGAGTGGTGTGTTTAGAATAGTCCTGATGTGTTCATGAGCCAGAAAGGCACAGAAGGTAAAAGGACTGACAGCAGCAGTAGATGGCTTAAAAGGATGCATGAAAATTTGAATGAGGTAGTCTCCTGCATATTGGGCTTAGTCGCCAACTCTGATTTGTGTCACTGCTGACTAGTAATGTAGCACTAACAATTTAGGAGGCTAGGAAACTTGAGGGGCGTAATTTTGTCCAAGATGCTTATCTTCCGTGCCTGCATTTTTTCTGGGCATTATCTATGTTTAGTCCCACAGGCACCTATTTCTTGAAAGCAGATGCAAATCTTCAGCATTAATAATTGTACATATGCAGTGAGGTTCTCTGCTGAAAATTTGGCTCTGTGTTCATCAGCTGATGGCACAAAGGGAGCACCATTTAACTTTGGTTGTGACTTGTGCAAAAAACTTTAAGTGTTCCTCATGCAGAGAAGATACCATGGCTTGGTAAATGCAGACCAACTTATACCAGTCATTATAAAAGGAAATTGTGAATATAGTCTATAAGTTCGGCAACTGTGCCAATATCCTTAGTGCTTGTAATACAGCAAAATTTTTAAAATGTGACATATCTGAATCCAATAGCATACATAGCCATAAAAAAACCCCACTGTTATTGCTTGATACACAGATCCAGTGATCACAAAACATACATTGACATATGTAACAGTTACATAGGAGGTGGTTGGGAACAGAGGGTTTGATTCTTCTCTATCTTGTGGCTATTTAGTACCAGTCTAACCATCTCAGAATCAGAAAAGCTCAAATTCCTCTTTGCATATCCTCTCTGGCATAATGCTGAATGCTTCCTTGATTATTTACAGATGGTTATAGCGTAACCATTTCATCATATTGTGAGAGATGCACGTAGCTCGTCATATAGAATTGTTGACATTTAACAGGTTCAAACCATTTTCCCTTGAGGTTAATATAATGGTTCCTGTTGATTTCAATGAGCATTGGACAGGGCTCTGTCCTAGTTTTGGCTGGGATAGAGTTAATTTCCTTCCTAGTAGCTGGTACAGTGCTGTGTTTTGGATTTAGGATGAGAATAATGTTGATAACACACCGATGTTTTAGTTGTTGCTGAGCAGTGCTTACACTAGTCAAGGACTTTTCAGCTTCCCATGCTCTACCGACTGAGAAGGCTGGAGGTGCACAAGAAGCTGGGAGGGGGCACAATCAGAAAAGGGGGGAAGGCTGGCGGGGGGAGCCGCTGCTCAGGGACTGGCTGGGCATCGGTCAGCGGGTGGTGAGCACTTGCATCGTGCATCACTTGCTTTGTATATTCTTTTATCTTTTGTTTGTTTGTTTGTTTTTTGTTTTCTCTTCCTTTGCTGTCCTATTAAACTGTCTTTATCTCAACCCATGGGTTTTGCTTTTTTTTCCCGATTCTCTCCCCCATCCCACTGGGGAGGGGAGGGTGAGTGAGCGGCTGTGTGGTGCTTAGTTGCCGACTGGGGTTAAACCACGACAGGCCCTTAGTGCAGCTTTTTCCCATATGTTTTAAAATGAACGTTTCTTGCCAATATTTTCAGGTTTATTGTAGCTTCCTTCTGCCTCAGGCAAGGAAAAACAACAGGACACAATGACAGCATATTATTGGAAGTTACATGATAAGTTCTAAATAGATATAATTAGCATGTGACCCAGAAGAGACCTGCATATAATTAATATTGAAATATGGTGCATGCATTATATAGGAAAACATATTGTGTATTCAGAGCGGAATGTTTGGAGAATGGAGGTCTGTCTGTAAATGGCTTGTCATTTTTTCATTTTAATGGGAATTGAAATTTCTGCACTTGAAGAAATACAGAATGATCATTAAAAAAGCTTGGACTTTAGAAATGACACCACCTGCTTCCTTTTCCTCTTTTTTATTGTGACAGTGGGAAAAAATCCTTAAATCTTCAACCGGGGAAATGTGCACTAATGGGGAAACAGACCTCTGAGGAGCTAGCAGACTGACAAGCTGTTCAGGAGCATGAGGCTTTTCAGCAAATAACATTCACTTCTCTAGCAGTTTTTGGTAGATTACATCATATCTAGAAGTCCATACTTATTCGAACCCAGCAAAGTGAATGAGTAACAGATACATAATGAGCATCCATGAAAAAGGGAAAGAACATCTCAGATATAAGTTGAAGATTAAGAGGGGTAAAGCCACCAGTGAGCTGTGAATGTGTTGCCTTCTGAGTGACATTCAGTTCGTATCACACAGCAGCTCATTACACAGTCTGTTTATACCAGAGGGAAACAAATATGAAAGTTAGTCCTTTATATTTCATATTAAATGCAGAGTTCAAGGGAACTGAAAGACTTCGTTATGGAATCTGACACCACCCTTTGTATTTTGCTGGGTCCTATTTTAAGTAAACTGAATAATTTTAGTGGGTTTTTTAAAGACTTTATATAAAATATTTAATTAACATTTATTCTACAACTTTGGAAGCTGAAGCTTTGGATCCAGGATATATTTTTTTATCAGAAGGAATAAATATAAAACAGATGTTAAGCAGCGGCAATAAATTTCATCTTAATTGTAACTCCAGAGATGACTTTCTCACCAAAACACATTTTTTTCCTCTCTGTAGCTTTAATTCTCAGCTCTGTAATTGACACAGTGCACTGTCCAGCTATACTTCTGGTTATATTAGTTCTTCCAGTTATATTTTTGCACAAAGTTAAATGCAATTCGTAGTCACTTTTTCAAGTGGTAGTCTTCACAAACAGACTATGTCATGGTTTAGTAGTTGCAAATTCAAATCTTGGATTTTGTGGCAATTCTGTCTGATAAGGTTGTCGCTACAGAAGGTATCTGGCATTTTTGTTCTTAAAATTTCATATGTGTGATTGTATAATAGACTAAAGGATGGCTGGTGTCTGCAGGCAGACTCTCTCGCATTGTGACCTTGCTAGATTTCCTCAGTTAAATGAAGTTTGATTTGAAGCAGAGCTGAATAGAAGCTCTTTAAGGTAAACCCAGATTGCTGTGGAAAGTGCTGTCAGTGAGTTACAGTCTAGCACTTTTCTGTGAGTTAGTGCTTGGGACTGATGTGTCGCTGGGTTTTGAGCCACTGCCCAATACAAAATTGAGCTTTCAAATGTGAGTTCATTAAAGATAGCATAACAATGTTCACAGAAGTGGCATAATTGGACCTAATAGTTTGTTTCACCATGTTTCATGTGTTCTGAATGTTTTCTTCAATTAATAATTATTCTGCATTATTCTTTCCCTTTGCTAAATAGTTGTTTAGTATTATGGTTGAAAACAATGAAATTCTTCCTTTATTGTGATTTCCAACCAATTAGTTCTGGGCAATGGGTTGCCCATGAAAACTCCTGACATGTCTCATGGCCAGAAGAAATAAAAAAATAAAACAAACTGAGGTTATTATAGAGCAAATTATAGACTTCTGCACAATATTGCTCAGTATCGTTGCCTCTTGGCAAGCAAAGCTTTGGATGGCTATCCTAGAAAAAGCTGAACTGCCTCGTGTGTGGTTTATTTACATTAAATGCTTTTAGAATGAATCTGGTACAGATGCAAAAGACTGCAGAGGAGGTTACAAACAGAGAGATCTAGCAAAAAAAAGGGAGAGTGAGAAAGGTTCATTGTGCTGGTCATAATGATAATTGAACTTATCTTGAAATGTTTATTAATTGAGTATTCAAGCTGCTTGAATCTCCACATTTTCATGCTTTCCATTATATGACAAAATGCAAATTTTTTTTTTTTAATTGCTGTGGAATGTTTTATTACCTTTATTTCCAGGACTGTCCTGTTGTTATTCAGTGCTGAAAGCAAACAGTTCATCTTTGGTCTACAATGCACAACATGGACCTTCAGACCTCAGTGAAGACAGGCATGTTAATACATGAAGAGAAATGTTTCCTAGGCCAGTGTTTCATCCACAGCACAACTGTGCAGGTTTTTATGATGCTTTGGTAAGTGATTAAGCAAAGAAAATTATATTTCAATCCAGTCATACTGAAGTCAACGGAACCATTAAACTGGACTACTGAGTTACTTCTAGCAATTCTCTGTTCTTAATTCCAAAAAATGTGTGGATACTGCAGATCGTTTACAAAACGTATTGTTAAACTAAAAGTACAGTGGCCTCTCAGTTTCCCTGATTTCTCTAGCATTTAAATAGTCCGCTCCTTTTTCCTCTTTTGTTGTTAGAGTAAGCTCCAAATAAGGATATCTGTCAGTCAATATTGCAAGTGTTTTTATTTTACCCTTTTCCAACAGTGAATATCATTTTTAAGTTGTTACAAGATACTAGTTGTATACAAAATAATGCTTCTGATCATAAAATTGCCAGTTACACGTAGTAATTCCTTCATTGACTGTCAGCCCTGTCATGTTGCAGAA